TGCCATCCAATCGAGGAACTTGATCGCGACGAGTTCCTCCGTGAACTCTGGGATGTCCACACGGAATGAACCCTCCCAGCGTCGGTAACCGAGAACATCGTCGTCATCCCGAGGACTGCCATGCCCGAGAGGATTCATCTCTTGAAAAGTGATGTCCAAATCGTCGTCTCATTCGCGTGGTGGTGGCGATAAAAACCTCTAGGCCCCCTATGACCGCGACCCCCGCGGCCCCCACCAAACCCTTCACGAACGCCGCCCCGACCCTCAAGTGAGTCGCAGTTTCTGTGCTCACCATGTACAATCATATGAAGAATCAGAAGTAAGTCTTCGATCCCCGCAGAAAGGTCTGCCATCTTGCGGCAGATCGATTGGAATATTGTCGGTCAAACCCCTCGGCTTGGCGATTCAAAGCCTCGATGGCGGCATAACACCTGTCGTCAGCAGTTTTGTTTCTTCACGACAACATCTTGAAATCGTCTCGGCCTCTGGATACCAATTGATCAGATGCCGTCTCTAGCACGATTATTTATTTCTATCATTATCATAATTATTTCTTTTACGTATTATAATAAGTTCGTGGGAGAATAGTTATTTTATTGGATATTTACTTGTCTATCAAGTTAGATATTTAGAGAGCTTGGAACTCTATTTATTTATGTTCTCTTGGCTTATAGTCACCAATTTTGATTGAATAAACATAAGATTTTCTTCTTGTTCATGTTCTTTGGTTGTGCTACATCAAACACCCTCCTTCATTTTTTTTTTTTGTTCTCGAATTCAAGCAATAGCATCTTGTTCCTCAGTTTAATAATTTCGTTTGCCAGAATCTGATTATTCCAGATATCGAGCTCATCCCCCTGTTTATTTACAACCCCCATCCTACCAATTCTTGCATCCGTGAAACTTCTTACTAGGACTTGATGGAGTCTTTGATGTGCGTAGTTGATCTCTCAAACCACAATAATAAAAAAGATCTGAAGGAGGCGAGAATGAAGAAGATGAAGACATTGATTTTAACTCTCTTGACCTCAACCTTTCTCGCGATAGATGGAGACAGACAAATTCTGGGAATTATGGTTCATAATTTAGGGGCGATTGACATATAAGGGAGATGATGGTGAGGTGTCAATTATTTTTCACCTGGTAATATTGGAATAATTAAATTAACATGAAGCCGCCACACACTCCATGTCAGATAAAAAACACGCCTAGTAGAAAAAACAGTTTTTATAACGGGTAAAAAAATGCTTTTTATAACGGTTTTGAGTTCGTTATAGTTTCAGGCGTTATAGAAAGTATGAACTTTCTATGACGGTTGTTGAACCGTTATAAATTGACTGCCATTTATAACGGATAACATAGACCCGTTATAAATATTTAGTTTACCTGTTATAGAC